CCGTTTCCAAAAATGTTCACATGCACTTACCTCTCGCGCCCTCGTTTCTACAGCACGGCCCATTTGTACGAGCGTTAAGGGTTAATTGGCTGAACGGTCAAAAATCAATACCACCGAACCCTAAACTCCCGCGAAGAGAAGAGCCTCGTCCTTCGCAATTAATTAAACACGGCACTGCGAATGATCGAAACGGTACAAAGCGTGTCAAATTGGCATATCTGGCTGATGACGATTGAACAAACAGAGTGCTCTAAAGACAGACGAAACTATAAACGGTTGATGGATCGTTCGGTCTTCTGTAAAATAAGGCAGACGTCCCGAGGTCAAAGGTCATCCGATAGCTTAATCAAACACCGATACACTTCGAAACGCATGATTCGAGCACACAAGGGATCGAGAATCGCTACCGGGTAGCATTGGGATCTACACAAGCACTCTGTCGCCGGATCGGATCGGATCGGATCGGATCGAATCGAATACGGTTCGTCCCGATCCGGCCCGGCTCGGCCCGACCCGACTCGACTCGACTCGGCTCGAACCGATAAAACCTGTTCCCGGCTCGACACGAATTTCGAGTGGCGCGATATTTCCAGCGCTCGTGAGAGCGCATCTGGGAAACATATCGTCGGAGCTCTTCTGCACGGTCGGGCCGGCCGGGTGTCCCGTTCCCTCGATACGGGAATAAAAATCGCAATTCCGCGGGAACGGTGCCGATGCGATGCGATGGAAGGAAATCGGCAACGATTCGCCTGGCCCTCTCCCATTTCGCCCATTTCGCCCATTTCGCCCATCTCTCCCATTTCGCCCACTTCGACCCGAACTAACGCGATACACACACAACTTGTTCTACACCTACCCCCGGACCCGGGCTCCCGCGCTCGCGTATACAACTTCCGCAATGAAATTCCCGGCTAATTTCAGGAAGAATCCCCGGCTCGGACCGTTGTCCTCGAAATTTATTGCGATAAGCTCGAGCACCGGGATCACGCGAGTATCTTGCCCGACCCTCGACGCCCGGAATCGTTAATTTCGCCAGCGATCGAGCCGTCAAACAGCGAATAATAGCCCGCGGATCTTTACTCGTTTTCACCGATATATCTGCACGCGCGGTCGAAGCGCAATCGATTATCCCAACTAATCGTGGGAACCATTTCGGTGTGACCGGGGCAGTAAGAACATCGTTGAACATTTATTCGTATAATGAAAATTCATGTGGTAGAAAGTTGTATACTAAATTGATTTATCGGCACAATGAGAGTTATGCCCGTTAAATTATAATAATTAGACCGCGGAGTTTATGGATTTATGACGAAAATGAATAGACCAAACGGAAAACAGCAAAAGCATTTATACGATATGAATATATTATTGTATTACTGTCCGCTCGTTAAAATGATTAAGAACAGAAATAAATGTGTATGTAGTTTCTACATTTTGCTATTAACGACGGCAATTCTTATTTTACATACAAACTCGCAGTCTAATAATAATACTTTTATTAACCCATTAACTGCCACGATTTTATACATATCGGTAAATATTGTTTATAGCAGACGGTGCGTATTTTGTGTTTCGTTTCTCTTTAACAGGTGAACAAATTTGGAAATCATCTGTAAGTTGAACACAACAAAATTATCATATTTGAAGCATGATATTTTTGGTTTGGATTTTATATTATAATTAAATACCATACATAAATATCTAATTTAGAGGTTTACAGTAACTATGTGTTACTTATTCAGTCTTTTGTTTTTCATACAATTAAAACAAATATTTTTTTATTCATGCAACCTGCCACAATCCCTATTTGTGACTTTTTAGAAAATATAAGATATTTTCACAACAAAACATAATTTGAATATAATTATATTGTTGCACACATTTTTGTGCATATACATAACTTATCCCGTCAAAAATTCAAAAAAAAGAAAATTTGGCAGCTAATGGGTTAAGTAAACAGATCTCTCCAAATCTTTTTTAGGGTAACTTTGTCCCGGTCCCCCGCCCCCTACTTTTCAATACAGCGCCGAATGAAATCCTTGTTGATCAGTGTATATCGGTAACGTTGCATATGGATCGCCTTGGATTGGGCTATTTACATGTGGAACGTGTTTACACAGCAGCTACTAATTCAGGTACCAGAGGTTGCGACCAACGAGGTACTACTGCAATTGCATCGAGCTACTTTACATAAATTATGTTGACGTTAAGGAAGTACATCCTGCAGACGACGAGAGATGATACTTAGTTTTAATTCGCGCTTTAGATCTACAAATTGTTTCACTTCCAGAGACACATCTTAAAGGAAATACACGTGGAGTAAAAATCATCTCTCGTAAGTTTCAACGCGAAGTGANGTGTTTCGTTTCTCTTTAACAGGTGAACAAATTTGGAAATCATCTGTAAGTTGAACACAACAAAATTATCATATTTGAAGCATGATATTTTTGGTTTGGATTTTATATTATAATTAAATACCATACATAAATATCTAATTTAGAGGTTTACAGTAACTATGTGTTACTTATTCAGTCTTTTGTTTTTCATACAATTAAAACAAATATTTTTTTATTCATGCAACCTGCCACAATCCCTATTTGTGACTTTTTAGAAAATATAAGATATTTTCACAACAAAACATAATTTGAATATAATTATATTGTTGCACACATTTTTGTGCATATACATAACTTATCCCGTCAAAAATTCAAAAAAAAGAAAATTTGGCAGCTAATGGGTTAAGTAAACAGATCTCTCCAAATCTTTTTTAGGGTAACTTTGTCCCGGTCCCCCGCCCCCTACTTTTCAATACAGCGCCGAATGAAATCCTTGTTGATCAGTGTATATCGGTAACGTTGCATATGGATCGCCTTGGATTGGGCTATTTACATGTGGAACGTGTTTACACAGCAGCTACTAATTCAGGTACCAGAGGTTGCGACCAACGAGGTACTACTGCAATTGCATCGAGCTACTTTACATAAATTATGTTGACGTTAAGGAAGTACATCCTGCAGACGACGAGAGATGATACTTAGTTTTAATTCGCGCTTTAGATCTACAAATTGTTTCACTTCCAGAGACACATCTTAAAGGAAATACACGTGGAGTAAAAATCATCTCTCGTAAGTTTCAACGCGAAGTGATCAAATGGTGGAAACATCGTACGAAACACGCTTTCTTAGGGTATTATAGTGTTAAATAAAAACTATGTTCATCCTCGCGAGGCGGTATCTAGGTCAATTTTGGCCCGAATTATTAAAATGGTTCGTTCAATCGCTAAATGTTTGGACAATTAAATCGAAGAAACTGCTGTCACATTAGGAACAACAAAAAGGCTAAATAAGTAAACTGCGGATTTTATGCATTTACGTTGCCCAGTCCGCAGAATAATATCGGAACAGAATTTCTATCAATCAACGGCAAATTGGATCCAACGGAGAATGAGAAGTCGAGGCACTGCTCAGTGTAAGAAGCATAGTGAAGCCGGTCGTCAGCGCGGCCGAAAAAGCAACAGATTTTTATGGCGGTGCTGAAAATCGGGACGTTAAAAGGCGAAAAAAGTTTTCGACCTCGGTTTCTTGAACGTTCTAACGATCGCTCGTAAACATTAGCACCGTGAACCGGGCAAAAGAACTTCTATACGTATATACACCGAGACTCATCCTCGCCGAGTTTCCTCCCTTTTCGCCGTTTTCGCTCCTCTCTTTCACCGTCACTCTTTCATTAACGCTCGTTAACGTGTCGTGCACGCAGCTTTAACTAGACCATCGATTTGCGAGCGGCGCGGCGCGGCGCGGCGGGCGGCAACCGGCGCGGTTTCGAGACAGCCTCCAGCCTCTGCCTAGAGATTTCCGAACGGAATAACGAATTTCGTTTCGCAGCGAACGGCGGACCTTTTCGAGGGCCCTTCATCCCTCGACTATCCCCGACTATCCCCGACACTTGGTGTCGGGGCTCGCGATAACATACAATGGAGAGCCACTCCGCTGAAAAACTTTTCTGATTCTGCCGACTCCTTTTTTTCCCCCCCAAGCGAACTCAAAAATATATCCCGAACAGCTTCCACCGCGGCGCTTGTTGCACGCGGTGAAATTATTTCGCTGCTATTGTCGACCCGCCATTCGCCATTATCCTGCGAATTATTCCTGTTCCCCGCGGCCCCCGATCTTCTCGTCGCTTTTGCGCTTTGTTTACCTCCCGCGGACTTTTTTGACGGACTCTTGTCAATTAGCAATTTCAAGGGCCCCCGGACAATGACATCGGTTGAAATATTATTTTATCTTGCAATTATTCGAAATATTATTGCCTTTTGTAATTATCCGAAATACATATTATTTTACTTTCGAATAAAAATGGCCAAGCGCTGATCATCTCCTCGCTTTCGCGATTCTTTACTTTTCGCGGGCTTTTTCGATGGACTCGGTCAATTTAGCAAACTCGAGGACCTCGGACAATGACAATTTGTTGGACAGTGCGTTGGTAAACCGTAATGGTACTACTTCGTTGAATTTGCAACTAGGAAGCGGGGAAAACGCAAAATAATCTCTGCAGTCCAAGTTGTGCTATTCCTGCAAGAAATTATTAACGACGAATGTAATCGTTCGGTTAGACAGAGTCAATTTAATTTTGTCCGACTTTTATGGGCACTAATGCGGCAGTCCGTTAAAACAGTAGTAAGCTTCCATAAAAGTACAGTTTTAATTTATTAACCCCTTAGCGTTTTGCGTTCTTCGCGTCTACATCGGCCAGACCTCTTTGTCTCCAACAATCTCCTTAATGGAAACATCCGATTTTAAATTCCTGTATGTCTATACGTTCACCCGAACTCCTGGATACGGATCACCGAAGGATCAAGTTTTGTTCCCTTTCAAAAGAAACGGATAACATTCGCATTTGGTAGATTACACGTGAAATCCTCGCCCCGGCTCGTTATTATACGCGAAAAGGGTTAATCCTCAAAGATCCACAACGTGGTAACAAAGAACAAAGAGACTTACCGGGAGCGGTTGCGTCGATAGCCGATGAACTTGTCTTCGAAAGTGGAGCACCAAGAAGCATTACAGCCTTTTTGTCACGAGAATGTTAACGTTGAAGCGATGAGAACAGCCCTCAAAAGTTTCAGGTGGTAGGTCCGCGTTCTCGAATAGCTGGGAAATGATTAATCGAGGTGAAACGAAATACTGAAGACAATGTTCCGCGGAGGGGGTTGAGAATTAGCGAGCGCCGCGATAACGTCTATAGCGTCGCCGAGGACGGCGAGGAAAAGTGTTACGTTTCACGCGCTTTGTCCTTCGCCCGCGAGTGCCAAATGCTCGCGGATAAATTAATTGCGCGGCAAGCTAGTTGCGATTTAAGGTCGGCAAATATCTTTTGCCAAGACAAATAATCTTAATCCTAAACCGTAGGCCAACTAAGCTCGGTTTATCTTGACCCGAATTACTTGCGTGTTAGTCTTTGCCGAATTAGCAAGGCGGAGGGTCGGTTTAGAAAGCTTTGTGCAAAGAGAAGAAGTAAGCCAGTTGTGTCTGAGAGTACATGCTTTTTAATTATGTATAAACGTTTGTAATAAAATTAGCACGTCTGTCTTCATTTCATCCGTTTACTGTACTAATTACGCTATCGTTTCTTTTGGGAAAAAAAGTTACCGAGAAGAAATGCGACTTAAACAATTTAAATATAAATCTGGCTTCCCGCCGACCACTAAACATTTAGTCGTCCCACTTTATTGCAATTTCATCGTTGGACAACTGTATAAAATAAAAACCCATTGCATTCAATACTATCAGAATTTTCAACTAACGGTTTCAAATTTCGCTCGAAACCATCCAACGTATAAAATACCTAAATTCGCTTCTTCAGCGATAAGGTTTTAACAATTAGAAAAAATAGCTGCGACCAATAAAGTAAATCTAATTTTTCTACACTTCTTAATTCTCTTTTTCTTCTTTCATTTTTCGTTGTGTTCTCTTCTGCGGCGATCGCTTATTGAAGATTCAATGAAGCTATAGAAAATTTTAGCAATCGATTTTGCTCGATGATGTCCAAAAAAGATCGGTGTTTCGTTCCACCGTGGGAAATCGACCGGACAAGAAGGTAAATCGCGGCGCGAAGGAATCCGGTGGTTGGAAACTGCGATGTCACCGGGTTGGAAAGTGTTTGCGAGGGATTTCTGGCAGCCGTGGAAAGCTTTCGAGCCTGGCGTTAAACGCGGTGCATCTGTGAAACAAGCCAGCAACAGCTTAATTCTCGCGTGCCCGGGCCATTCGGAGGGCCGAGTGAATTTACGGCTCATCGAAAATCCTCGCGGGCAACCCTCATTACAGGTTTCCCGGTTTAACGACACGGCCCGGTTATAATGGCGGCGGACTCGTTTATCGGCCGAATATACGTTAGAGCAGAGGTACCGGCCACCGACGGAATTAACGTCGTCGAGGGGCGGCTAACGTTCCGGCAATAAGCGGATCCTGCGTCATTTTCAACCACTGTCGATCGCCTGAGAAATCGTCGCGGCGGCCGATTATGAAATAATAACGCGGGACCATTTCAATTCCGGGGGCCGAAGTAATAACCGTGATTAATCAAGCGGTCGGGCCCGCGCCGCTGTGAAATTAATATCCAGTAATTAACAAACGAATGGGATAGCCACTGAACCCCACCGCGCGCTGGCCGTTCGAGTGACACCGAAATCTGCTCGACCGTGTACAAACGCTGAAACCCGATTTATGCGACTCTCTCCTTTCGCGAACGGCTGGCCGTTGCACGCCCGGACGAATCCTGCCTCCTCCTCTAATTCCAGCTGGGTCTGTGGGGACCCATAAAATTGCCAGCCGTTATCTTTACGTTCGCGGGTGCTCCGAGCGAAATTAAAATTTTCTTCCGTTGGCCGCGGGGAACTGCTGTTAAATGGTAATTCGATTTTCATGAATTGGAAATAATGTGACGTTGGCGGGCATCCCGGCATTTTCTTCTAATATCTAATTAATGCATTAAATTCTAGTTAGCGGAATGCGGAACGTATTCCAAATTTTACGGACGAAAATAAAAAAAGATACGCGGAGAATTTTCATTTCGCATGAAGATTCGCGGTCTGTTTATAAACGACGAATATGCGAGGGTGAAATCAGATTCGGAACCGTCCGCGAGTTTCAAGTTTTACGAATAATTTTTTAATTTTAATAACTTGAGGGACAAATTAACCGGTTGCGCCACTAAAAATTGTCATATCCGTCTAAAAATAATTTTAGTATTAACAAAATCGTTTATATGTTTTTAAAAATTGTTAAAAGAGTAACCGTTGCACGAGTCACAAAATTTGATTTCATATCTATCGAATGCGTTAGATCGTATAAAAAGGAAATAGGTCAGAACAACTATTTTGGATTTCGAGTTGAAACGGCTCCGACTGCAAAGGATCGATAACATCGATGCTTGAACAGTAGAAGCTAGAACGCATCCTTGAGGAGATTTCGCGGAAGCGCGAGCCGTAGCGAGGATGAAACGAGGAGGCAAATAACTCATTTATTTCCCCGAGTCTTAAGAAACTTAGTTCGGAATGATTACGCTAAGTAGCTGCAAATAATTGTACTCGTTAGCGGAAGTTAAGAGCTAAGAGGTTCGGTGATAGGCGTTAACCCTCATCCGGTGAGACGGGGTAGTCTCGAGGCTGCCGGGAACTTTTTAAACGAATGGTAATGCGACTACGTTCGGGCGCAAACAACGTTTTCAGCCGCGTTGCTTGTCTCGTTTCGCGGGACGAACGAAAAATTACGCGTCAAAATAAAAAAGAAAAAAAAAAATTGCGCGCAGAAAGAAACGCGTACGTACGGATTTTGTTACCGAAACCGTTGCGATCGTTAGCGGGCGAAACGCGTTTTCAAAAGCCGCCGAAAGAATGACAAATTCGGGCGCGTTCGATCGGATCGCCGTTTTGTCGGATATTTAATTCGCTCGGAAACTCTTCGGTCATTTGCCGGATAAAATCGTGTATTAAAGGAATCTTCATGAATTTTTCATTCCGGGCGATCCAGCTACGAGGAATCGAGTTCGCCGTGCAACGCCTTTAGTAAAATAACTTCTCAGCGAGACGGTTCGCAACATATTTATAACTTGGACGCTCTTTAATATTTTCCAACCGAAAAATTACCACGGTTAGCCCGAGATACGTGCTTTCGAACGGAATACAGTAATTTCTCCCGGAAATGTTCGGAGGTCGGAATTGAAACCGGCAGATCCGAGCATACTAAGTCGCGATTCTTCGAGCCTCGCGGCTCGTTTTTCTAGAAACTCGAGAGAAAAAAATCCCGAAAGATGATGCGTTGTCAGACTGTTAAGTGCAACGAGTCGGTAAACGCGAACAAAACGGTTGCAGAATATTCGATTCGACGGACGCGGCGCTTCGAATAAGCAATTTCGTCCACTCTTTACCGAACTAGCATTTTCTACGGTCGAGTCATAAATAACTTCCGTTTTCTTATCATACATTTATCTTGTTTTTCCTTTATTTATTTCGAACCCATATCTATTTAGCGAAAGCAAAAGCTCTCATACCGGATAAATACGAGCACATTTTACCTAGCTGCATCGGACTCGACCTAATAGTTCGACCTCGAACGGAAAAACCGTCGGGGTATTAGAGGTCCGAAACGGTCGGTTCTCAAATCGGAGCTTAATTACGGTCACATTATCGGCTTAAACCGGGAAACTAAGTTGAACTAATAAATCATGGATCCGTAAATAGACTTGGGAACGGGGACATAAAAGTTTTCCGCAGCGCGTAATCCGCCGGTCGGTTTACGTTCGGAAATCGGCGGCGCTTCGCGGATCGGCTCCGGTTTGACGAGCCGGAAGCGATCCAATTTCGCGTCGGAATAAAACCTTTCCGGGCGGGTTGATCGGATTNTATATGTTTTTAAAAATTGTTAAAAGAGTAACCGTTGCACGAGTCACAAAATTTGATTTCATATCTATCGAATGCGTTAGATCGTATAAAAAGGAAATAGGTCAGAACAACTATTTTGGATTTCGAGTTGAAACGGCTCCGACTGCAAAGGATCGATAACATCGATGCTTGAACAGTAGAAGCTAGAACGCATCCTTGAGGAGATTTCGCGGAAGCGCGAGCCGTAGCGAGGATGAAACGAGGAGGCAAATAACTCATTTATTTCCCCGAGTCTTAAGAAACTTAGTTCGGAATGATTACGCTAAGTAGCTGCAAATAATTGTACTCGTTAGCGGAAGTTAAGAGCTAAGAGGTTCGGTGATAGGCGTTAACCCTCATCCGGTGAGACGGGGTAGTCTCGAGGCTGCCGGGAACTTTTTAAACGAATGGTAATGCGACTACGTTCGGGCGCAAACAACGTTTTCAGCCGCGTTGCTTGTCTCGTTTCGCGGGACGAACGAAAAATTACGCGTCAAAATAAAAAAGAAAAAAAAAAATTGCGCGCAGAAAGAAACGCGTACGTACGGATTTTGTTACCGAAACCGTTGCGATCGTTAGCGGGCGAAACGCGTTTTCAAAAGCCGCCGAAAGAATGACAAATTCGGGCGCGTTCGATCGGATCGCCGTTTTGTCGGATATTTAATTCGCTCGGAAACTCTTCGGTCATTTGCCGGATAAAATCGTGTATTAAAGGAATCTTCATGAATTTTTCATTCCGGGCGATCCAGCTACGAGGAATCGAGTTCGCCGTGCAACGCCTTTAGTAAAATAACTTCTCAGCGAGACGGTTCGCAACATATTTATAACTTGGACGCTCTTTAATATTTTCCAACCGAAAAATTACCACGGTTAGCCCGAGATACGTGCTTTCGAACGGAATACAGTAATTTCTCCCGGAAATGTTCGGAGGTCGGAATTGAAACCGGCAGATCCGAGCATACTAAGTCGCGATTCTTCGAGCCTCGCGGCTCGTTTTTCTAGAAACTCGAGAGAAAAAAATCCCGAAAGATGATGCGTTGTCAGACTGTTAAGTGCAACGAGTCGGTAAACGCGAACAAAACGGTTGCAGAATATTCGATTCGACGGACGCGGCGCTTCGAATAAGCAATTTCGTCCACTCTTTACCGAACTAGCATTTTCTACGGTCGAGTCATAAATAACTTCCGTTTTCTTATCATACATTTATCTTGTTTTTCCTTTATTTATTTC